TAGGCTGTTGGTTTTGTATATATGCTCTTAATTATGTTGAGGAATTTCCCTTTAATTCCTACTTTGTTGAGTGTTTTTATCAGGAATGGATGTTGGATTTTGTCAAATGCCTTTCCTGTATCGATCGATATGATCATGAGGTGTTTTTCCTTTTTCTTATTTATATGGTGGATTACTTTGATTGTTTTTCAGATGTTGAACCATCCTTGCATTCCTGATATGAATCCCACTTGATCATGATGTATTATCTTTTTGATGTGCTGCTGGATTCTATTGGCTAGGGTTTTGTTGAGAATTTTTGCATCTATGTTCATGAGGGATATTGGTCTATAATTTTCTTTCTTAGTGATGCCCTTCCCTGGTTTTGGCATAAGGGTTATGCTTGCTTCATAAAATGTGTTAGGAAGTTTTCCATCCTCCTCTATATACTTAGTTGAGTATGTTTTGATATTTTTGATGCTTTCTGATTGCCTCCAGGTAGATGTGATCAGGAGGTGGTCTTCCCTGTTCACTCTTCTTATTGCTTGACTCAGTAACTTTCACAGGTGTTGTCTGCCTCCCTGGTGTATGGTAGTTGGTATTGGTTCTTGCCTGGATTTTGGTGTTTTATAGAATGTAATTATAGCTTGACTATATGGCAGCAGTTGCTGTCTCTTCTTGGGTAATACAGGGTGAGAAAGAGTCCCCCAAAGGTAAAAGGGGGATCATAAAACAGCAAAACAGCAAAAGCAAACAAAAAACAAAGAAACACCAAAAGACAAAATAAAAATCACCACCAACAAAAACTAGATTGGATACTGTAGTCTATAATCGCAGAAAAGGGAGAGGAGGGAGAGAAGAAAAAAAAAACCCACAAAAAAACCAATATCCTAATAGGAGTATGACTTTAATGTCCTCTTTCAACTTACTGCCTTCAAAGCCGTCTGATAAATTTCATGATGCCACTGTTGGTTGTTATGGTGTACCTCAGGATTTAATATAATTTTTGGCCTGTTTTGTTTTTAATCTCTCTTTCCCTCTCCAAACCCCTTGTTCTGGCCTTTTCACTATTAAAATATTGTTCAGGGCCGGCTCGTGGGCTGAGAGTATCTTTGTATATGTGTGGCAGAAGAATCCACCAGTGGTGCGGGCAGGGGGTGTCCACTCACTCAGGTCCCCCCTCTAGTCACCAGAATGGAGGTGCACAAACAGTAGGGGGCCAATGAACAGATACCAAAAAGAAAAAAAATCAGAACAAAGCAAAACTGACTAATTATATTGTCTACCTTTGCTCCAAGGTTCCCACAGCATTATTCTGTGGCGGAGCTGTTCCTCTGCTTGGTCTTGCCATTTGGTCTTGCACAAGTTGTCGGCTCTGGGCCGCCAAGCCTGGCAGATTAAAAAACATGTGATTTCTTACTTCCACTACAAATTCCACTAGCTATAAGCCTTCAAACTTTTAAAATATTCCTACCTATGTGATTCAAGGAGCTCTGGTAGCGAGCATAGTGGTTACGAATTGGACTATGAACCGCAAGGTCAGTAGTTCAAAACTACCAGCTGTTCCATGGGAGAAAGACGAGGCTTTCTGTTCCCATAAAGATTTACAGCCTCGGAAACCCTGTACAGGGTCGCTATGAGTCAGAACCGACTCCGCGGCACATAACCACTACCACCACCACTACCTATGTGATTCAGAGTTTTGGAGCTCTTCCCTGAACCCTCTTCACCTCGTATTCTGTGGTATTGCTGACGGCTAACTACACTGCACCTCTACCCTATATGCCATCAAGCCCCACCTCTCCCCAAGAAGAAGGTCTTTGATAAGTGATGGTAACTTCATGAACCAATGCTGGGTTTTCCATACTTTTTTTTTTTTTAATGTTTTATTGTGAATTATGTGATAGTTTACATGGGAGAACATTAGTTTTACATTCATTCTATTGTATATCATTTCCTTGCCATGATTACAATCCCCTCCATGCATCATTAACCAACCAAAGGGTATACACTACAAGCCTGCACCCTGGTTGTCAGCACACAGCTGCTCTCCCTCTCTGGGAGAGTCCCCAGCTGCACCATCTCTCCACATCATCGTCTCTGCCTCCGTCTCTGACGTCACTGCTTCTCTGGGTAGGGTCCCGCTCTCCGCTCTTCTCCATTGATGGTCCCAGGGACCTCCGCTCCTAGACTGAAATGTTAATCACTCCTCTCCTTGCTATAAAACGTCTACCTTTACATTTCCAACCCTCACAATCAGTCCTGATAACAATTATTCACTACTGTATCACAAGAGACCTATCTGCATTTCATTTCATCAGCCCTGCCCTGACAGATTGGATATTACTTTTCCATATTTTTTAGCATTACAAAATGTCACATGGAAATGTTAGCATAAATTTTGGTTGACTTTAGAAGTCCTGCAGCTCTACTTAACTATCCTTGGATCTCTATTTTCACTCTGTGGCAGTCTGTCAATTTGTAAATTACTAAGATTTGAAATGGAGTTCTGGTGTGGTGCTGTAGGAGAAGAACTGGACTACTAACTGCAAGGTCAGTGGTTCAAACCCACCAGTCATTCCTTGGAAACCCAATAAAAGGTGGCTATGAGTCAGAAATGACACAACAAGATCTAAAAGAAAAAGAAGGAAAAAAGGATGATTCGACTCACATACTAAACTAATAACTGAATTTTGATGAATCCTTAGCCTGCTGTATCTCTCCATCTGCTCTATTCTACTGGGTAATTGGTGTTTCTGAATTGATGTGAATATGGAATAGGAATTTAAGTGCTGGCTACTTTTTAACAAGGTGGCCAGGGTTGCCTAAGGTCCCTTGATCTAAACATGGGCATTTTTTCCCTTCTCTTTTTTTCCCTCCTTTTTCCTCAGATGGACTTAGGCATTCCAGCAATGACCAAGTGCTGTAACCAGCTGGACGTCTGTTATGACACATGTGGTGCCAACAAATATCGCTGTGATGCAAAATTCCGATGGTGCCTTCACTCTATCTGTTCCGATCTCAAGCGGAGTCTGGGCTTTGTCTCTAAAGTGGAAGGTAGGTATCTTCAGGGCATTTACTTTAAGAAGCTTTGCTCCTCTTTATACACAGAGTTGTAATAAGAGCCCACCATTCAAGGGCACCATCAGGGCCCACTGAACTTCTTTATACAACACTGACCAAGTCAAGAAAGGGTAAAGGAATATTCTGGGCACTGCTTCACTTAATTTCTTGCTGTCCTGCCCAGGACCTGCTGGCACCACTCCTCATGGAAAGGGCCACACTAAAGCCTTCCCAGAGTAATAAAACTCGATCCTTTAAGACCGGCGAAAGAGTTGGCCAACTTGCTCTGGTTTTCCATATCACTGTTAAATAATTTTTCATACATTAGAAGTTATTAGTTTTAAGTACCTTTTTCCTTATTTTATTCTCAATCGGGGTATGAATTTTAAAAAGTGATCTTTTGTGTATAAATGTTTATATACTTGAGATGATTAGTTTTTAACAAATGTTTAGCTGTCCAGTTAATAGCACTGATTCTGTAATTTCTTTTTCCCAATTCATTTTAGGAAGAGCTTTAATCTTTATGCTTCTGAAACCTGAACGTTGCTTCTCGCTATATAGCATTATCTAGTTTTAGATGGTAAAGGTTGAAATTTAGACTTGTAAAGAGTTGGCCTCATGCCATAGGAAGTTCACAACAGAGTCTTGGATCTTGTTCATAGATCAATGTCTAGGGAGTAGTCTTGAAGTGAATGTGTAAAAGCTTGAACTTATCAATTAGCCCTTGTAAATTAATTATAAATGGAGTGTCAGCATCTGGACCCATAAAGGGTGGAAAAGTACCTGCTGCTAATCTAGGTTCAGGTCAAGTTACTGCCTCCAAACAAGGTCCTAGTTTTCTCCTAAATCTCTCTTTGATAGTCCCACTTTGCCTGGTTCCTGCAAATTAACCCAGTTGTGCAGTTCTGTCTAATCTGTTCTCCCTATAGGAACCAGATATATTTTTATATCACAGGTGATGGTTACGGTTGTATGTCAACTTGGCTGAGCCATGGTTCTTTGGGTTGGCAGTTAGGATATAGTCATCCACCAAGATGAAAACTGATACAAGGTAATCACATTCAAGCTGAGATCTGCTATGAGCAGCCAGTCAGCTAGGAGGGCATTTTCTAAGACATGGCCTACAGTGACTAGATATGGATGTCCAGGTGAAGCACTCTAGCTTTTTGCTTGCTCTGGATCCTTAATCTGCTCTCACCATCTGATTGCTGGTTCTTTTTCTTAATTTGTTAAAGATTTTATTTATTTTTTTTAAAGGTTTTTATTGTGGATTGAGTAAAAGTTTACAGGGCAGATCATCAGTTTTACATTCAACAAATCATACACTTTGTTTCATTACAATGATTATAATCCCCTCTATGTACCATCAGTTACCAGTATTTCTCTCTATTCACTTTAGCTCTTTTTTTTTAAAAAAACACTCAGGCATATATAATAATTAAAACCACCAAAGGGCACATTCTGCAAGTCTGCCTCCTGGACGCCAGCTCTTAGTCCCTCTCTTTCCATGAATCTAGAGTCCTCAGCTGCTCCCTCTCTCCATGTCCCTATCTCTGCCTCCATGATTGCTGGTTCTTGAGTCAGTGGACTGCTGTCTTACCTGCTGATCTTGGATTCATCAGCCTTCAAAGTCCATGAGTCACCTGTCTGATCTGCCAATCTTATGTTCAGTCAGTCCCAGTAGCAGTGTGAGTCAGAAGAAGTCTCAACTAGACATCTGACCCATGGGCTTGGAACTTGCTAGCCTCTACACCTGTGTAAGCCATTTCCTTGAGGTAAATCTCTGTATATATACATATATACATAGAGTCCTGGTCTGTACATTTCCAAAGACAGTGTTTCCATCTCTAACCCTCACTTGAAGAATTCTCTGCTCTTCACCTTACAGCACTGTAGGATAAGCATTGGACTGTTAACCACACAGTCAGTGGTTCAAACCCACCACTAGTTGCTCCTCGGAAACCCTATACAGTGTCGCTATGAGTTGGAACTGACTCAACGACAATTTAACAACACATGTATGCCGGCTAATGTACTGGACTTCAAGATCAGTTTCAAGATCGGTGGTTCAAGCTCACCAGGTGCTCCTTGGAAACCCTATACAGGGTTGCTATGAGTCGGAACTGACTCTACAGCACTTAAAAACAACAAAATGTTTCACTGATTTTGCTTCTCTAGAGAATCTAGCCTAGAACATTTGGTTTGGGGAGTGGTTTTTTGTTTATTTTTTAATGTTTTATTGTGAATTATGTGATAGTTTACATGGGAGAACATTAGCTTTACATTCATCCTATCATATATCATTTCACTGCCATGGTTACAATCCCCTCCATGCATCATCAGCCAACCAAAGGGTCCAGTAAGCACAGATTTTCCATTCCTACAAGCCTGGCTCTCGGTCGTCAGCACACTGCCCCTCTCCCTCTCTGTGTCTAAAGTCCCCAACTGCTCCATCTCTCCACATCATCATCTCTGCCTTCATCTCAGGCATCACTGCTTCTCTGGGTAGGGTCCCACTCTCCGCTTTTCTTTGGGAGTGGTTTTTGAGAAACAAAATGGCAAAGGTGAATTTTCTAAATTGGTCCTTGTTTTGGGCTAATCTTAAAGACCCTGGTGACGCTGGCTCCAGCAGTTAAGAGTGCACTACTAATCCATGGCATGAGGTGGGAATAAAAATAAGCAGGATATCATCATCAAGAGAACCAATATTTGTGAGAAACAAGGCTTCGGGTGATTGCATATTGGATACTTTTCTACAATTTTGTCAGAATTCCAAGTATTAAAAGGAAGCTGGTTGATTGGTCCTACTTACCCTAGACAAAGTGTGAAAGAAAGAGATAATTCAGGCCATCAGAGCCACAGCTCAAATGTCACATAAAAGACCTGAAAGTTACCACTTGTGCTCTAAAAGAAAGCCTTATTTCTTGTAGTAACATAACTGACGTTGCCAAAAACCAACCCCAGAGTCTTATCATGCGAGGGGCAGAATTACATTCTCTACTAAGTCCCAAAATCAAACGTTGTCTGAAGTTAAATTAAGGGCATTGATTGGGAATGGGGATATATGAACAGACAATCATGACGATGGGACATTGGACATCACTTCAGCCAACAGCTGTACTACTCCCATCTGAAAACATTACTATATCTTTGTCTGCTAAACTTTTATCAGTAAAATCATTATCTCTGGCAGCACATTTGATCAGATTAACCCAGCTGTGCCTGCTAAGATAGTGCTTGGGGTATTGTCTTAGGCATCACCAGATGCAGGTGCCTTACAAGACATTGCTGAATGTTTCAGAAGACACCTCCACCACCCACTGTTGTTTCTAGGACTATAACTAGATTTTAGTCTCAGTAAGCTCCAATAAATATGACCAGAAAGAGATATGCTACACTCCAAACGAACTGCTTGTTTTTTCTAACAAGTACAACTAGAAACTTGGAGAATGTGTGTGGAAATGGCTATTATGGGTGTAGGATAATTATACAAGAAGGAGCATAAAGTTGGATTAGTCTGAATTGATTGATATGGGCCCAGTAAGCACAGATTTTCCATTCAGTTTCAGCTGGAGTAGTTAAGAGAGGACCTAATAGTTTATTAGTTTTGTTCACTGATGTGTCAGTTGATGGTTTTGTTGTTGTTGTTAGGTGCCATCGAGTTGGTACCAACCCATAGTGACCTTATGCACAGCAGAATGAAACGCTGCCCGATCCTGGGCCATCCTCACTACCGTTGCCACACTTGAGTCCATCGATGCTGCCACTTGGCCAATCCATCTCGTTGGAGGTCTTCCTCTTTTTTTCTGACCCTCCACCTTAGCAAATATCTACACTGAATCAAGTTGAAGTGCCATGCCTGCCTTAGTATACTGTAAAAGTATGCAAAAGTTTAAGGCAATTGACACGCTAGAGTACATTTCTCAGATTAGACCCATAGACTCACATGTGGAGTGCCCAGAGGACACATCTTTTCCCACAGTGGTAGTGGTGAGGAGCTTGAAGACTGCTATGATTGCTGTTTTTAAGGCAGATTTGACAGTAGGAACTACCTTAATTGAAGTAAGTAGGTTAACCATTAAGCTTCTAACCAAAAGGTTGGCAGTGTGAACCCACCTGTTCCTCTGCAGAAGGAAGATGAGACAGTCTGCTTTTATACACATTTGCAACCTCTGGAATTCTATGGAGCAATTCTACTCTATCCAATAGGGTTGCCATGAGTCCGAATTGACTCGACAGCTGTGGGTTTGGGTTTTGAGTACCTACAATGGAACTGATTAGACACTGTGGTGGGAGATGCCAAGTGGCAGCAGTAAATTGACAAAGACAAGGCGGGCATGGTTACTGTAACAGAAAACAGAGTCAGAACAGCAATCAGACTAGTCTAACTTTCATGGTTTTATCTCATTGACTACTTGGGCATAGTGTCCCTAGAAGTGAAATAGATAGGAGAGCTACTTGAACTACTGGAAGAATTCTAAGTCAAGTGAATGGCAGTCTAACCTGAATTGCCATAATAGGGTCGTAGTCCCTCAATCAATTCCCAGAATTGAGCCAATTTACAGACCCACTTCTTCTTCAATGAAGTGGAGGGTGGGTTCCCTTGTGGAAGGACCCCACTACATTGTCAAAAATGTATACTGTTAATCTTTCTTCCAGCTTCCCCGAAAGTGACATATGACCTTTTAAGAAACTAACACTTAACTGGAGAAAAGGAAATAATCACTTTTAGGAGATTACTAGACAATGGCTCTGAACTGACACTAGTTTCAGGATACCCAAAATGTCACTGTGGCCCACCAGTCAGAATAGTGGCACATAGAAGTCAGGTTATTAATGCCGTTTTAGTTCAAGTATGTTTCACAGTGGGTCCAATGGCTCCCTGAACAAATCCTGTAGTCATTCCAGGATGCATAATTGAAATAGGCATACTCAGCAACTGGCAGGACCCCCACATTATATCCCTGGCATGTGGAGTAAGGGCTCCGATGGTA